CAAAACCGTGACTAATTGCATGATCAGATTTATTGTTTTCTAATGCATTGCCCACTTTTGGCCTTTAAACCTTAAGTAATTGAACGGTTTGGCCTATTGTTTTCTAATGCATTGCCCACTTTTGGCTTTTAAACTGTAACTAACTGAACAGTTTGGCCTTCTGTTTTCTAACGCATCACCAGCTATTCTAATTTGAAACTGTAATTAACTGAACAGTTAGGTCTATTGTTTGCTGATGCATTCCCAACTTTTGGCGTTAAAACCGTGACTAATTGGATGGTTAGGCCTATTGATTTCAAATGCATTGCCAACTTTTAATGTTTAAACTGTAACTTTTATTGCATACCTTACCTTAACACATAGCACTGATGTTTTCACTTTAAACACATTATTCATTCGAACATTTGGGTTATCAAATAAATGTATAACTAATTTGAATTTATTTTTAAACTGACTTCTATGAAAATATTTATAAAGTATGGCAGCTGAGATAGTGAAAATTATTCATATATATATATATATATATTAAAATGTAAATTCAACTAGTTATTCACGAACTTTTTCTAAATATATATATATATAGTGTTTATATATGGTGTTTCTTATTGTCCTTTACTCACCACGGTTAACCTATAGTTGAATAATTGAGAAGAATATATTTATAGTATTAATCCATTCCGCTAATGTAAGAAGCCTACTTTTGTTCTTTCGACTTGTCTTGTCCAGGGTTACAATTGAGGAATTGGAACTTCCCGAAATCGGTGTAACTCAATGATAAGTGGTAAATCGAATGATAAATTAGGCTTCATATTTATTTAGTAATATTAACCTTACTGTTTGTTTATGATACAACCAGCATTTGATCTATGTACTCGACAGTTTTTCTTAGATCTACTTAATCAGTATAGATGACGCATCTTCGTGCAAACGATGAACATTCTTACACTCATTGACTGACTAGATATGCATAGTGGTCAAAATAATCTGAAATAAACATTATGCTTACAAATAACAGAAACTTAGTTATTTGTCAGGAAATAATCAAGTATTGTGTCTTGTTTTTCTAAGTTTAAATTGTAGCAATACGATATGGACAAAATTTAAATATTTCCTTTAATACAATTATTATTTAGCTAGAAAAACCACGTACATTGCTGCATCACCATTAGCGTAAGAAGTGTTCAGATGAGCTTCAGTAACGGTAGGAGTACGACTACCGTAAGGATTTCCTAGAGCCTTCCCCATTAAGGGATTTTTTGTATTGTACATCCTTTGTTGTTCCCACGAAGTTTGACGTTTCCTCAGTTTCCTGAAAGATCGGATTCCAACAGATAACACAGATTAGAACATCAGTTAGGTACAGAGAAATAACATAAGATCATAATTATTACACTCAACACAGATTAGAACATCTGTTAAGTAGAGAGAGATAATATAAGATCATAATTATTACACTCAACACAGATTAGAACATCAGTTAGGTACAGAGAAATAACATAAGATCATAATTATTACACTCAACACAGATTAGAACATCTGTTAAGTAGAGAGAGAAATAACACAAGATTATAATTTATACACTCGACACAGATTAGAACATCAGTTAGGTACAGAGAAATAACATATGATCATAATTGTTACACTCAACTCAGATTAGAACATTTGTTAAGTAGAGAGAGAAATAACACAAGATCATAACTAATACACTCGACACAGATTAGAACATCAGTTAGATACAGAGAAATAACATATGATCATAATTATTACACTCAACTCAGATTAGAACATCTGTTAAGTAGAGAGAGAAATAACACAAGATTAGAACATCAGTTAGGTACAGAGAAATAACATATGATCATAATTATTACACTCAACTCAGATTAGAACATCTGTTAAGTAGAGAGAGAAAACATAAGATCATGATTAATACACTCGACACAGATTAGAACATTAGTTAAGTACAGAGAGAGATAACATAAGATCATAATTATTACACTCAACACAGATTGGAACACCTGTTACGTAGAGAGAGATAACAAAGATCATAATTAATACACTCGACGCAGATTAGAACATTAGTTAAGTACAGAGAGATAATATAAGATCATAATAATTATTACACTCGACACAGATTAGAACATCTGTTAAGTAGAGAGAGACAACAATAGACCACAATTCTCACTTGGATAAATTATAATAAAGTATAAATTGACACGTCTAAATGAAAACTTTTTCCGATTTATGTTGTGCGACATTTGTCGCAGACGGCCTTCATCAGGCACTTAAAACCGTGTTACAATGGAATGAGGCTAGAAATAATCGTTAAAAGGTAAATTAATATAAAGATTCTAATTACACACGTTCAACGTGGAGC